ATGTATATATCATGTATATATCTATCCACTTAGCACTTTTAATTCTTATTCTTATTTTTATATTTTTATGACAGTATGTTGCACTGAAGCACCGCAGCAATTTCCTAATGTTGTAAACCTGCTCAACATCTGGCAATAAACCCTTTCTGATTTCTGATTTCTGAAATGCAGTGCCTGGACCAGTGCTCGATATAAGATACATAAAGACCAATTTTGACCTGTGAAACATGCAAAAATGATACACTATTGTGCAAGTCTTGAACCACCCCTCATTTCTTTATATTGTGGTTCCAAGGAAGTATACTCTTGATTCTTTCACAGGAGTATTGAGCAATAGTTCTCCAGGCTTTCCGAAGGTCTTTCTTTGGACATTAGCTGCCTTTTCACTCATTTTAAGTCCATTTAACACTGACATATAAATCGTTCAAACGTCAAAAGGGGCACCTAAACTAAGGGATGAACCAGTGTTGTCCACACATAACTGAAAATTTAGTAAAATATAACTTAAAATATTATGTTAAAGTAAATGAATCTATGAATAGTGTCAAAGACAACACAGGGGCCTGGCACGAAAACGAACAGCTTGTAGAACTGGGGGACTCGTATAGAGATAAGAACCGGAAAAAGCGTGTTTGGAGGCGTGGTCCCGCTCCTGAAATTCACATACTTTATCTCCAAAACATTGATCCAGCTACTGTTCACAAAAGCTTAATCAGAAATGGTTTCATTAGCTGTCAAGAATCAATGTATAAGGAAAGAGAAACAGGGAGTTTGAGAGTGATCCCAAACACACTGCCAACACAGTAAAAACACCTGCACAGAAAACACACACAGTGCAACACTACCAGTCATGAATTGGTCTCCCCAGAGCCCGGACCTCGACATTATTGAAGCCTGTGGGATCATGTTGACAGAGAACAGACTAAAAAGCAGCTGACATCCAAAGAGCAACTTTGAACGTCCTTTAAGAAGCCTGGAAAGCTATTCCTGAAAACTACTTAAATAAATTGCTAGAAAGCTTGATTAAGAGATTTCAGGCTGTGTTTCAGAATCAAAGGTGGCTCCACATTTAGCAAAGCTCTGCCTGCTGGATTGTGTTGCATAACTTTTTCCAGGGAACCGTTAAGAAGAGGTTTAAACAGGGCGTAAAGGAAACTACAGTCCTTATCGCGACAGGAACTCCTTACTTAGAACATATAAAATAGCTGAAGACCGAGTACGTGTCACATGAAGTTTATTTCAGCGTGTTTGCCGCTTTCAGTTTAATTAACAAATAAAAAACACTCATATACTGACCAAACATTCGTGTTAGCTAGCTAAAAGTCAAGCAAAACTTTGAAAAACTTTTAGGGCGGAAGCGCCGCCAAAGTACTGATATTAACTTTTGTTTAAAATAAGTCTAAAAATTTTGCACCTGGTTTTGTTCGTATATAATAAAAACCTACAAACAGTTAAAACGTCTGGTACCTTTGTTTTGCTGCTTCTTCTTCACCGCATTGACAATCTCACAGGTGGAGCTACGCAGGCGCAATGCTGCCCTCTGCAGGACTTCAGGACAGTTGCAACCAGCTGTGCTAAAAACCACAAAGCGAGATCTTCTTCTTCTTCTTCTGTCATTTTTAACGGCAGCTTGCATCCAAAGATGCTGCACTACTGCCATCTCCTGGCTTTTACTCTCACTTCACTTCTAAATCCTTAGAGCCTCTCGATGCACAAAGCAGGATTATAAGAGTTTTGTATTTTATAATTAGTCTATTTCATTATAATTCATTTTAGTTGTTCCCGTTAGTTCACTTTCCAAAGCGAATTTTCTCGTTTCACGTTAGTTTTTGTTTGAAAATGTTTTCATGGTAGCTTTAATTAGATTCAATGATACAATGCTATGAAAAACTATTTGCTTCCTTCCTGAGGTTTTTTTTTATTTTTTAAATTTGTTTAAAATTTGTTTGATCATCTGAAACATGTGACTGTGAAAAAAAAAATATTGGGTATCATCATAATATCTTTTTGCCAAATGTGAGCTTTTGTATTCTTTTTTGTCAGCAATGATTTTTCCCCTTCTAACTCTCCCATTGATGCCATTTTTGTCCATTCTCTTTCTTTTGTTGAATCATGAACTCTGACCTTAACTGAGGCCAGACAAGCCTGCAGTTCTTTAGATGTTGTTCTGGGATCATTCTTGACCTCTAGGATGAGTTGTTGATGCACTCCTGGAGTAATTTTGGTAGGCCGGTCACTCCTCGGAAAGTTCCAAGTTTTGTCAGTTTGTGGCTAATGGCTCTCACTGTGGCTCACTGGAGTCCCAAAGCCTTAAATGTCTCTGTAACCCTTTCCAGACTGATAGATGTCAACTTTTATTCCCTGTAAATCCTGGAGAGGTTTCTGTGAGAAAATTCCAGCAGATTAGGAGTCTGGTACAAACTACCATGGCATGATTAAAGTCACTTAGATCACCTTTCTTCCCTTCTCTAATGCTTAATTTGACTTCAGCAGGTTATGTTGGCCATCTCTACATGCCTAAATTAGTTGCTGCCATGTGATTGACTGACTACACCCAAGGTCCTGCTGTTAAAACCTTTATTTCAGAATTATTTTTTGTTTCTAAGAAGTCATAACATACTTTTTATATACACATGAGACTTTAGGAAGCTATAACTGTAGCGGCCTGTGGGAAACCGAAGCAGTCTCCTGCTACAGAAATGGTGAAAGAAAAAAAAAAATCCATCTCTCGTGTACTCACAACAAGCTAAAGAAATGTGTATTATTTTTCATTAAATGTCTGAAAGGTTTTGTACAAATTTGTGAATTTAAATCAGAGTGTCAGTGTTGCATGTTTGAATATTGGCACAGATAACATAACAAGCATCTGGTATTAATTATACTCAGAATCGGAAAATAATTAAATAAAACAGTCAGATACATAAATACAAATGTTTATTTCTGGATATAATTTACACATTTTGCATATGAAAGTATGGCACAACTGACAATATGACACATTTCAGTTTTGCCTTTCTTATGTGATCAAATCTCATTTTCGGTGACAAATAATGTGACTCAACTAAAACATCACTCTCAAACTTTCATAAATAAAATGTAACTTCAGTGTTTAATGTAAATATCAGAGGTACAAAATTGATCTGAAAGATTAAATGGATACCTTGATTGTAAACTAAAGTGCAAGCCCCATTTTTTTGCCCTAAATATAATACAGCATCCGAGCGCATCAGTTTTAAACACATTCAGCAACAGTGTGCAACCAAGAAAGAGCTGAGAATTAAGCAACAGCGACAGGTGCTTTTGTTTTTATATCCACAGGTGCTGATAAATAAACAGTATCCACACACAGTCAAAGGACAAGCCAGAGGGGATTCCTACAAATTAAGCTCAACATAGCCAGGCTTTTCTGGCGTTAACTAGCTTAACAAAACCTGAACCTGCAGTATCAGCTTTCTTTGTTAACTTTCTGCTTCAGGCTTTGCGTACACTCACATAAAAAGATGCTTTTGATGTATGATTTCCCTCTAATTCTGCATAGAAATGAGTCTCCGGTGTATCACCAACTTTAGACAAAGACTAAGTGATAGAGATCTAAACAGCAAAATGGAAGACCAAGTATAATCCTGCAGGAAATCGTTAATCTCCAATTATCACAATCACATTCAGCAGTAAAATAAAGTTTGAGTTAGTATATTTAAATTCCCTTCACTTCAGTCTACCACCGGATCAATGTGAACACGATTTTTTTAACATGGTGAATAAAGCCTAAAAATGTAACTGATCGGTTTTCTAACCTGTTATCTAGTAGCTGCAAACCCAGCAGTGTGAAACAGACTAGCAGCAGATTTGGATCAAGCAGCCAACGTGAAATTTCTGCATAACCGCCTGAATTTCAGCAACAGTGTGAGGCACAGTTAGCACTGCTGTAACCTTACAGTTGGGCTTCGCGTTAGTGAGGTAAGGCTCTGCAGCTTTCATTTGTGAAATGTGTTCCTTTAGCACTTGGAGCAACTGTAAATACGAGCAGAAACTTTTGTTTTACCACAGTAATCTAGTCAGGTCGCATTAAAAGCTCTGACCTCTGATTTCGAGGTCAAGTTCACTGAGATTTGAACTCATCTGACATTTTCAGTAGTAGCAGTAGAAACAGTTTGAAAATCCTAGGTAACATCCTTCTTGAGTTATCGTAGTTATTCTATAATTTACATTCGGTTTAATCTGCCGATAAACTAAAGTGATGGGAAATCATCGGAATTGAACACACCGAGTAACGTTTGAATGTTTAAAAGCTTCAGACATTAAACAAGTTGTCAAAAACGTTGTTTTATGCGAGTGTGCTCAGAGTCTGAAGCAGAAAGCCTGATTTTCCCACCACACCACTGGGTTTTTAAGTTTTATCCAGCCAGGCAACGCCAGGGAAGCCTGGATATGCTGAACCTGCTTCGTAATACGCCCCTCTGGAGTAATAAATATTTATTTGTCAAGGTCTTCGGGACTTTACGAATACTACAAATGATGATAAATCTGAAAATCTGGGTGAAATTCAGGAAATTAGTCAAAGCCTCTCTTCAGACACAAGTGTTATTATTGGGATAACAACAGGCTTCTGCATTTATTTAATCAGAAGCCATTTTGATCATTTTTAGTCTCCAAAATATTCCTCAAAAGTAATCTGAAAGTCCACACACTGATATTTTAGCTTAAAATATAAAACTGAGTATTATGTTTAGCCCAAAAAAGTCCAAATATGCCCAAAAGTTTGTTTTTAAGCGTTTTCTGCAACAGTCTGTTTTCAGCTGCAGGATAGAGAACCCGAATCATCCCCGTTCCTGAGTTATTGCCCTGTTTTAAATCACTTTATTTAATTCATTCTAACTACTGAATGTACTTTTTTTTTAGTAATTATTGGACTTAACTGTACATAATAAAGTTTAGATAATTTAGTGAAACAGAGTTTTGTAATTTTGCAGGCAAACAAGCACAAAGATTTAGGAAGGAAATTAAAGAGTGTTACTTGTCCATCTAGCTAACACCGGATGGTCACTGTGAGCTACATTTCCTCTTGCTGTGGCACCGGTGAGATTACAGCTTAACATTCAGAAGAGCATCAGTAGAACATAACCTAAAGATCCATAAATAGCTAATTTATCTCTAAAGCAAGTATATTCATAAAACCTGTGGCATTGCAGTTCACCTTTGAATATATGATCTGGAAATTTAAGCTATTCATCATAAGAAATAAATATCCCAAAATCACAACCAGCATGAATTAATCATTCAAAAGACTCATTAAATCAATTCAAGTTAAATGTCCAAATCCAAAAGGCATTTAACTCAGCACTGACAAACTGGATGGAAATGTGTAACACACTGGTTGAATGGCACAAATGATCATCACAGAGCATACAATAATAATGATAATAATAATATACAGACTCCCACCTCTTCATCATTTCCCACCCACACTATGAACACAGATGTTTAAAATAAACCTAACATGCACATCTGCTTCTGTCGGAGCCCTCTGAGAGGTCTGGGGTGAAGGGTCCGTTAGCTCGGACAGTCCCGTCGGGGATCCAGGACTTGTCCACACATCGTTCCATCCTCTTCATGATGAGATCCAGCAGGACTTCCACGGCCTGGCTCACGTTATCCCCGTTTGCAGCACTCGTCTCAAAATACGGGATTCTGCACGGAAACATGTTTCAGTTACAAAACAGGGATCAAAGACAGCAGCTATAGTGTAGCTCAAACCTTTGTTGACGTAGGAGTGCAATTAAAAAGTTGTGACTCTGCTCATAAGAAGCAATAATAATAATAATAATAATAATAATAATAATAATAATATTTTAAAAAAATCGGTCATTGAAACACTGGTCCAGAGTCATTCATCAAAACGACCTGAACGTCGCCCCGCTCACAGAAGGGCACACCGAAACAATTTTACCCTCCCCACCTGCCCCATTCGCCAGATCCGACTCCATCCCAAAATGAAATTCAAGCTGAAGGATCGCCGTTTTGACGCAGTGAAGGCGTTCAGGACAAGACTTTCATGGAGCTGAAGTTGAGAACATGAGTATTGATTTTGTTAGTTTTTATGTGCAGAGCTGTGGAACTAAGCATGTTGATTAAGTTTGTGAAATGGAGCTCAGTGTTTTCCTGAAACAGCCTGACGCTGTTATTTCTAAACTAATTAGCAGCAAAAAAGGTCATTTACTGACTTACTGGAGACGTTTTCATCTTTGGATTACCCATCTGCTGCTGTGTACTTATTAAAATACACAGATATAATAATACGACAGTACACGGACTGCTACAGTATTGTTTGATCAGTCGGTTAACTGATATACTTAACCACACTGAGATAAGGGTGTTAGATATTGTTTATATAAATTGAATTGATATACCTTTTATTAGTCCCACAAGGGGAAATTTCATAAGGCTGTCGACCTATTGCACGGTCGAGGCAATAGGTCGATGACGGCACCATCTTACCCTCCGACCATACATACATTACACAAAACATCACATGGAGAAGAAAGATAAGGAGAAATAATAACTCCCCCCAGACTGAGCTCCAACAGGGAGATCAGTTAGAGAACAGAAAAAACACCTCTGCACATGAAAAAAAAAACAAACTCTTAATACACCAAAGAAACACATGACAAGCAACAGGGGTGGGTAAAGGGTGCAGCATCGGAAGGGAATAAGCGTCGAAGGCGTTTGGAAAGGGAGGGGGGATGAGTGTGTGCATATCAGTGTATATGTATGTGTGTGCATGTCCAGAGTTCAGCTGAGACAGTGTCCTTTGCCCTGCTAGGCTAAGTAAACAGAAATGAACAGATAAATATGGCACAGACTATATTAAAAGTAAATAAATTCATTTAAAATAAAAAAAAATAATAATAAAAAAGGGAGAAATGTCTGTGGGACATCTGCAAAGCTGAGGTCGTCCTCGACTGTATAAATGTCATTTTATAGTCCGTTGTTAGGTGGTTGCCAAGTAGACATGATGCCGTTTGTAGATATAAATGAGAAGTTATTGTCAAGGCCATTGGCTGATTGTCATACAGTGCTTTTCTACTCTACTTGAGGACTCAAAGCATGTCACATATACATTCAGAGCAGATGGGCAGAGATGCCATATACTTGAATGCATCGTTTATATTTTTAGTAAAAGGTGTGTCTGATGGGTCCCAAGCAGGATATTTTACACGTGTGCACAAATATTTGTTTTTCAAGGAGGACTAATTTAGTTCAACATTGTCCTGCATGAACTTTGGCAAACAAAGCGGCCACTGCCTCCTTGGCAAATGTTTGAGGGAGAGGTTCATGTACAGATGGATCACAGGCGGGCAGGCAGACAGACGTACCCGTACTTCTCGGCGAGTTCACGAGCCTGGTTTTCACTGATCATTCTCTGGTCCGACAGGTCACATTTGTTCCCACACAGAACGATGTCCGGATTTTCACAGTATGCGTGGATCTGTAACTGACCTGAAACGATCAGAGGTTGTTTTTTTTAAAATGCATAAAGTTGTGTTTCCATGGAAATATCTTAAATAGTGGCAAACACATCAAGGTTTCATTCATGTACTAGTTGATACAGCTGGGGTTAGAGTAGGGAAAGAGTAATAAGAGGGAGATTAAAAGTTTAATTACACTTTGGGTCTAAAACCAAACTCCACGAGTCGGACATAATAAGCCTTTGTGCACAGTCAACAAGAAACTGATTATTTCTCTGCTAAGGCAGAGCCGACGTGGATGTTTGTTTGTCTGTCTGTCAGCAAGATTACTGAAAAGCTACAGAGCTGAATTTCATAAAACCTGGTGGAGAGATGAAGGCCAGGCAAGGAAGAAATAAAATCTGGATTACTTTCTTTACAAATCAGTAGAAGGGCATCTACAGGTGCCCTTGTAAATATCCAGTGACTGGTGCACTTTTTATTAATTACACCAGCGGTGAACTGATTGTTAATTCTTCCATTTTCATGACTAAAAATGTGCTTTCAGCTCAACACATTAGGACACATACTCATCCAGTGTCTGACGTTGAGGAAACTTTGCTCGTTTGTGAGGTCGAAGAGGAGGAGGAAACCCATCGCATCTCTGAAGAAAGCAGTCGTCAAACTTCGAAACCTGAAATCAGAGGAAGAAAAAACACTTAATGGAGAAAAACAAAAGTTAGAGATCAAGAAGTTAGAACAGAGTTTACCTCTCCTGTCCTGCAGTGTCCCACAGCTGCATGTGGATCTTCTGTCCTTTGCTTGATGTGCCATCTGGACCAGGTGATTTGTACAGCTTAGAAACAGAAAAATATACATATACTTAATTTAACAGATATTAAACCGGGATGTTGAGGATATAGCCACCCCATTAACCATGTAGGAACAAGAGGGGGGAGAGAAAAAGAAACAAAACAAAGACGATGATAGAAAAGGTCTGAAAACCAAGCTAGTTGTCAGCCAGTTTGAGGAGTTTAGAGGTGTTTCTGTTTGCTAATGAATCTTATGATAATCCTGATATTTATGACTGTGCAGGGAGTTTTGTACTATTCAAAAGTAAAGTTTAAATTAAGTTATGAACAGGGGATCCGTGTAAATGTAATTATCAGATACCAAATCAGAGCTGTCAAACTAAAAATGGGAGAGAGGAATGAATCATTGAATCATGCCTATGAGTGTTGACAGAGCGTTTAAATGTTAAATGAGAAAATGTGAGAATAATTAGAGTACTGCCAGTTTGTGCTTTTTATGACTGCATTTTTTTTATTTTTTTTAAATTAAACAAAAATTCTGACATTTCCATCATAAATCAGTGCAGTGAAACTAAAGGGAAAATTATGTTAATGACATTTAAAATTTCCTGGAGAAGCAGGAACCATGAACCAGGAGCAGAAGGCTCCTCCTGGGCTAATCACCTATGGCCAACGTTGAGATGATGGATAGTTAACACAATTATTTACAGAGTTTGTCAAAAACTGTAGATTCATCAAACTTTAATAATTAGAAGGTCAGAGACAACTGCCCATAAAACAGCAAATGTGACCTTGATAATGAGTTTATATTGTGTGAGCTCTCATTGTGTGCAAGTTTGATTAAATAATGACCCACACTGTAGGAGGAGTAATGACTCATGTGAGCACAGATGGACGACGGACAGTTCCCCGTGGCAGGAGCTCATCAGTCCTGCAGCCGGATGAGCTGAAATGTGACTTAACGCTTGAAGTGGGAACTCGTCTCTCTCTTTGATTCCACTCCTTGTGTCTCCGCTCACCAGAGATACAAGCAGAGGAGTAGGCAAGTAGAGACACCGGGAGGAAGAAGTTGAGGCAGCAAACATTTAAGAAAATGTTTTCCTGATTTTTGAGCCTCATTTTGAAGTTGCATGAATAGTTTGTTATAGTCAAATTACAGCACAACTTGATACCAGTGTCAGTTTATTTAATATATATATTTTCAATAAAATCTACATCACTCTCAAGATGTTATTGTTCTTTTAAAATTCTCACAAATGGTGAGGTGCAAAAACTCTGAACACCTTAAACAGCTGAAACAACTTATGAATATAATAAGGACAAGTTGTTCCAAAAGTCCTCCTTCCTCTGTGGTTTCTATATTCCAGCTGTGTCTCACACCCCTGATGTAAACTGATTGTAACTTTTGCCTGTGTATCCTCCATCGCAGCTTCTCCTCCTCCTCCATTTTTAAACACAGTGTATTGAGCAAAACTGCAGCTTGGTTGTCAGTGATGGAGAAGTGCAGTTACCCCATGTATTAATTTAAAAAAAACAAAAAACAGCTGGGGAAAATAAATTTTTTTCTGTTCATCTCCCCAAAACAAAAAAACAAAATATTCCCCAGCTGTGCACTCATTTATATTTAAAAGTAAAGTTTTTATGTTTAACGAAAAAAAAGAAAAAGAGGTACATTCAAATCCTTCAGACCAAGCATTGAAAAGAAAGATAATGACCGATACATATAACAGGAGCAGGTTTTCTTCTCAGAGCTGAAGGTCAGCAGCATTAAAGTAAATATGAGATGTGCTCAGCTGTTTGCCAATGGTATGAAGTGTTTATTCTTAAGGAGGGTGCTGCCTGCTTCTCAGCAGTATTAGTCATTACTTTCTGTTGCAACATTCACTGGTAGGCTTTTGTAACGTGGAGTGAATGATCTGGGAATCTGTTTAAGCTCCTGATCAGGCTTCCTGTACAGCGTGAGAGTGGAGTAATATGTTCATTAAGATTTCAAAAACACTGACAACATTAAAACAGAAAGTCAGAAACAAAAAAGAAAATAAAAAGGAAGCCATTTGTCTTAATGCTGTACATGGTTATCCATATGCAAACAGCTCTTATTTATTTAAAAAAACAAAACAAATGCAAACTCTGAGTCCATTCAAAACATAACAAACCAAACACTTGATGGTTTACATTTACAATTATTCATAATTACTTTCTGTTATATTTAAATCTTTTATGAAGTTCAGAAAGTGTGTTCAAAACGTCAAAATAGTTTTGCTTTGGTTTTCAGTAGATTGCAATTTAAATTTATTTGTTTTATCCAGTGACTAACATATCTGGTCTTTCAAGGTTTTTGGTATTTTAAACATTGTTTGTCGATTTGTAATCAAGTGGAAACAGCTTTGGGTCTGCTGGACTTTCTTTAAGTTCACTTCCCTCACACCTGATGTCCTCCTAAACTGCTTTGATGCCAAAGAAGAAGAGCTGAATGAAAGAGCACCGACTCACCACTCGTTTTTCTCTGAAGTCTATTCCGACTGTAGTGATGAACTTGGAGTTAAACTTGCTATCTGTGTACTGGTACAGGAAGCTTGTTTTCCCCACGCCAGAGTCACCAAGGGCTAAAAATTTGATGAGGTAATCATATTCCCCATCAGACATAGTGAGGCCTTAATTTCTGAAACACATGAACAAAACAACTCAGTCAGCCAACAATCTTATAAATAAATATAAATGGAAAAGTGAAGCCATAGTCATATCTCTATTCTTCAGAAATTAAGCAGAGAGTGGAGTGAAAAAGTACAAAACTAGAACTAAACATAAACTCTTGTAAAGTTTTAGTACATGTGTTATCCAAAAACCTCAAACACAGAAACTCTACAATATATGACACTTTTAATATTCAAAAGGTACACTCATCATGAAAAGAGCAAAAGTACCAATGAACTACTGTGTCTGTGTAAAGGTTATTATTATTATTCAGTACATGCTGTAGGTTAAACGCAAACATGCACACACCAGGAAAACAAGATGTGTTTATGTACTGTAGAAAACAGTTCACTGCTAAAGTATTAATTAGTCCTGTGGTTGTTCATATTTGCTAAAACTATAGTTGCCACATAGACATTTATGTCTTCATCAGTAAGAACCAGAAGTCTAGAAGTGGAGTGCCAAAGACAGGCGCTCTGTTACGCAAATCCAGTGGTTGCTAAATGTTGTGCCGT